GGGAGGGGAGGGTTGTGGGCATTGCATGAGCTCTGTGCGTCGTACAAATTAAATTTTTAATGTCATAAGTGGATAGCTTACATGCGTATAGGTTTGGATTTGCATCGAAGGTCACCTCTGACATTTTATCTTGCTCATTTGCAGTGCTGGATTACCCGAAGACAGGCAGCAGTGTCCACCTACACCACTTTTCGTAAAAATGTCAGGAAAAAAAAACTCCAGTTTTTACGCATCGGAATTTCCAAGGGCTTCGTCCAAGTGTGTATGTATGTATGTCTGTATGTATATATGTGTATATCTATTATGTACGCATACATAATAGATATAAATATATACATACATGTATGTGTGTATATGTGTATGTTGTGCATATGTGTATGCATGTATGTGTGCATGTATGTGTGTATGTAGGTATGGATGTAGGTGTGTATGTAGGCGTGGATGTTTGTGTGTATAATTAAATGTATTTATGAATAAATGAATATGTGCTGTGCATATTCTTGTATGTAATTGTGCGCATTTTTATGTGTGTTTGAATGTGTGAACGTCTGTTAAGGGAGGAGTTTTTTTAGTAGATAGTACAATTTGTGTGGAAAATTAGTGTTGCAACTTTTTCTAAATGCTTCCATAGACCAGGCACAGCTGCACCAAGCCTTCGGTCTCTAACTTTTATCTCAGTTATTACTTGCTGCCTGTCCAATGTATGTGTGACACCTTTTCAATAGTTTTCTGAGTGGTCATCTGCTCCTCGAGTTCAGAGGATGTGTGCAAACCGAGTCTATTCATTCATTTGTGCGGCAAATCCGGAAACAAAAGTGAAGGGAGGATGTCAACGGTGGGGCTGGGGAGTGAAAGATGCGTTTCTTGCCCTTTGTCTCGAAGCATTGTCCGGGACTGTCTGTTTAGGAAGGGAAAACGCAAAGAAATTGAGTTGTTGGGGGCGCAAAATGCAGTTGCAGAGAGGTGGAACTCATGGACGAGGAGTGTAGTTATCGAAAAGATGCCGAAGGAATCTGGGACGTAGAGGAGGAGGAGTGCCGCAGAAGTGTTACTTTTTAACAGATAAAGCGTAAAAGTAGCAAGGAGGCGACACATCGGGTGCCGTTTTGAGCGCATAGCCACGTAGCACGGCTTCCAAGAACCAGGGCATGCCGTTGTGCATGCGAGACATCACTGCACTGAAGAAATCACAGGTGGTCGATGACATCAGCGATGGGGAGGGGGTAGTTTGCAGCCCGATAGCACTGGCCATCTCTTAGTGTGTATGTGTGTGTTGCAGGAGCTGTACGCTACAAGCACCGCACGTGCAGGGTGCTGAGGTGGACCTCTGTGCGCTCTACGAGGCGGTCGTGGCGCTTGGCGGATGGCAAAAGGTTCGTTTTTGAATTGCCTCAACGCTCTATGCAAATTTATACGGAGATATTTTCAGAGATATTAACTTTCATATGTACATAGTTGAGGAACACTGACCACTCCCCAGCTGCTTGCAGGCCCCTTGCCAGTGTCAGTGCCATTCCTTGCTGTACGATTCATTCATTCGTTTCGATGGTAAATTGCTACTGACGCGTTCCCGGAAGTCAAAGCCACCATCGGCTTGCTTTCAGGCATCCATCGGCAGCCTTTGGAGTTGGTGGTTGCTTTTGGCACTTGTCCCGCTCGGGCTAATTCATAGTGCCTTCCTTTGCGGTAGAGGGAAGGGGTTTTAACTTTGTATCCTGAATTCCTGCGAAACTCTTAGCTCACATTCTTGATCATTACTTTTTTTGCAGCCGCAACTTTCCACCCGCAGTAGTTTCCTGCGTCCCACATGCGGGCCATAACTTACGCCACGTTAGCTTAGCCTTTCAGTATTTTTCCTGCCGTTCTTTTTAACAAAACACTACGATGGCTTCAGTACTGCGATAAGCAGATATTCCCAGCA